GTTAAAAGGGACATTGGTTATTGGACCATGAACATCTATATATTGTGTGTCTGAAGTGTGTTAAAAGGGACATTTGTTATTGGACCATGAACATCTATATATCGTGTGTCTGAAGTGTGTTAAAAGGGACAATGGTTATTGGACCATGAACATCTATATATTGTGTGTCTGAAGTGTGTTAAAAGGGACATTTGTTATTGGACCATGAACATCTATATATTGTGTGTCTGAAGTGTGTAAAAGGGACATTGGTTATTGGACCACGAACATCTATATATTGTGTGTCTGAAGTGTGTTAAAAGGGACATTGGTTATTGGACCATGAACATCTATATATTGTGTGTCTGAAGTGTGTTAAAAGGGACATTTGTTATTGGACCATGAACATCTATATATTGTGTGTCTGAAGTGTGTAAAAGGGACATTTGTTATTGGACCATGAACATCTATATATTGTGTGTCTGAAGTGTGTTAAAAGGGACATTCGTTATTGGACCATGAACATCTATATATTGTGTGTCTGAAGTGTGTTAAAAGGGACATTGGTTATTGGACCATGAACATCTATATATTGTGTGTCTGAAGTGTGTTAAAAGGGACATTTGTTATTGGACCATGAACATCTATATATTGTGTGTCTGAAGTGTGTTAAAAGGGACATTTGTTATTGGACCATGAACATCTATATATTGTGTGTCTGAAGTGTGTTAAAAGGGACATTTGTTACATGTTATTTGTTGACTTTATTATGTAATTTAAAAAAGAGGCAGATGATACCAATGGGACATTCTAAACTCACAAGTCGAGAGAAACTGACAATGGTATGGAAAAAAATGGAGGACAACCAAAAGACAAACAGGTTCGCACTACACTACATTGAAACTAAAGACTGAACAACACAAATTCCACCAAAAACTGGTTAAGTTCGACATGATGCTTGATTTATGATGTAAAAACTAATGTTCAGTCTGAAAATCATTAATTGGTTTCAAGAGATACTTTAAATGCTATCTTATTTCAAGTAAAAATTAGTATATTAACGTTTATTAATTATAAATTCTGTTTTGCAGTACTTCATCTTATGAGTCTGTATGGGACTTTAGACTGACACCACCAGACACAAGAATACAAGTATTAGGTCACAGAAAGTTAACATTTGATGTGAAGATTGTGGTGAAGCGTGACACAGGGAAGAAAGCTACAGACATCTTAGATGTATATACTATATCTAACACCATCCATACCTCTGATAGTAAGGATAGTCTAGGTTTACTGACAGGAAGTGGTGTAGAACATAAAGAACTAACGGTCAATGGACGGTGTTTCTGTGCTGTTTTTCATGGGTAAATAATGTTACTGTATAGTTATGATTGCTTTGTTTATCCATTTGTTTACAGGTAAGGGTGTAAAATGAACAAGTTTGTTTAGGATAAGAAGATAATTCTTGTTTTGGAGATTACTAATTTGTCTAATTCAAAACAATCTCACAACCAAGGTATATATGTAAGTGTACTCACAGTTACTGAATGCTAGCAATAACTAATGATATACCACATCTTTTTAGCTCACCTGGCCCAATGGGCCAAGTGAACTTTTCTCATAACTTGGCATCCGTCTTCTGTCATCTTCCGTTAACTTTTACAAAAATTTTCTCCTCTGAAACTACTGGGCCAAATTTAACCAAAATAAAGCATCTAGAGCACATCTGACATGGGAGTGAAATTGTTCATCAGGTTAAGATCTATCTGCCTGTTAATTTTCAGACAAATCAGACAACTTGTAGTTGGGTTGCTGCCTCTGAATTGGTAATTTTTAGGAAATTTGGCAGTTTTAACTATTTTTTGTAAATTTTTATACGACCGCAAAAAAATTTTTGGCATCTTATGGTATGATGTCTGCGTCGTCGTCCGAAGACACATTTGTTTCCGGACAATAACTTTAGTTTAAGTGAATGGATCTCTATGAATTTTTTTAGAAGGTTCAATACCACAAAAGGAAGGTTGGGATTGATTTTAGGGATGATGGTCCCAACTGTTTAGGAATTAGGGGCCCAAAAGGGGCCCAAAACAAGCATTTATCTAGTTTCAGGACAATAACTTGTGTATAAGTATTTCAATTGCTCTGAAATTGTACCACAATGTTTAATACCACAAGTAGAAGGTTGGGATTTATTTTAAGGGTTATGGGGCAAACAGTTTAGGAATTAAGGGCCAAAAACAAGCATTTTTCTAGTTTCCGGACAATAACTTGTGTGTAAGTTTATGGATCTCTCAGACGTTGTACCACAAGGTTCCATATAACAAAGGGAAGGCTGGGATTGAGTTTGGGGTTAATTGCCCCAAACATGTAGGAATTAGGGGCCAAAAAAGGGCCAAAAAGAAGCATTTTTCTAGTTTCGAGACAATAACTTGTGTTTAAGTGTATGGATCTCTCTGAAATTATACTACAAGATTCCATACTACAAAGGAAAGGCTGGGATTGAGTTTTGGGGTTATTGCACCAAGGGGGGTTCAATAAGTTGGGGGGGGGGGGTGATTTTTTGTTTACAATTTTTTTAAAGGATTCATATTTTTTTTTCAAAATTTTTCAAATTTCGAATTTTTGAAAAGTTTCAAGAAGAAATCTTCAATTGCACAGTATTGCGCAATAGATTTGTAAGATCTTTGACCACATTTATTTTGTGTCAGAAACCTATATTATGTCAAAAATTTGATCACAATCCAAATTCAGACAGTATCAAGCTTGAATATTGTGTCCAAATTTGCCCCAACTGTTCAGGGTTCGACCTATGCGGTCGTATCAGGCTGCGCTCAGCGAAGCATTTTATTGTAATCTTTTACAAAAATCTTCTCCTCTGAAACTACTGAGACAAATTTAACCAAACTTGGCCACAATCATCATTAGGGTATTTAGTTTAAAAAATGTGTACAATGACCCTGCCTACCAACCAACATGGCCGACATGGCTAAAAATAGAACATAGGGGTAAAATGTAAGTTTTGTCTATTATTTTATGAACCGTTATAAATAGAGAAAATCTGAAAGGAGCAAAAATGTTCAGAATAATGAGCTTTACCAATTGTCCATATACGTCATAACTGTTAGACAAATTCTTACAGGAGTTATTGCCCATAAATGACAAATTTTACAATTTTTTTCATTTCTGCCTATAATCATGAAAACTATGATATTTAGAGAGAAAAAATTTTTTTCTGTTATGCCTTATATGATTTAAATTATAATGGATAAATAAACACTTTCAATCACAAAAATGATCAGCAAGGCAAGATCTATTAAAAAGTCAAATTTTGCCGATATTGTTAGTAGACTGCCACTCTTCATAGGAGTGATTGACCTTAAATGAGGATTTTTTTTGCCCCCTTTTGTGTTTTGAGAAAAAACTAAAGGAGATAGAGAGAAACTAAACAGACTAAAAGATCAGTAATACAAGATCAACAAAATAGAGATTTTTGTCATGAAGTCTATTCTCTTCTACAATGTTGGAGAGTGTCCTTTGTTCGAGATGCACAAAGACCAAGGTGAATGACACAGGCTCTTTAGAACCTCTAATCATGTTTTTCCATACTAAATTTTTTTTTTTTTTTTCAGGAACAGCTTATGGTTAGGACAATCATATGGGAAAATCTTAGTGTTAGATTTGGAAAATAATAGAGAACAGTACCTAGAAACATCAAATGTTGGTATTCCCACAATTCAGTGTCAGTTCCTGGAGGTCTCTAGCAAGTTAGATAACTCTGTATGGGCATATATTTATCCAGGTATGTGATGAAAATCAGGAAATAAAGTGTCTATTTTTCTGTGCATCTTGTTGGTTATATAACTTATATGAGCTTATATTTTTGTTCAAGTAAGCAATGTATGGAACCAGTCAATGTAATATAATTCATTCTAGGTTGCTAATAATTAAAAAAAAATAATTTGGAATTATTATTTTGGTTTATTTGGGTACACCTATTTGTGAACAGATCTTCTATTGGAAGACCTTAGATGTTTGTCAAAGAATCTTTAGAAAGTAGCTTTTCAAAAGAAATCTGAAATAGCAACAAACTTGTCATTTATTCTTAATTATTTGACAGTGTTGATCACACAAATCTGCCCATGATAATTTTCAAACCTGATTTTCCTTCTCAGCATGTGAATTTGTTGTTTTAGTGGAAACAATAAAGTCAGCACAAACATAGATAACATCACTGTACAATGTGTGTAATATGTGTTGAGGAAGATGTATGTATATTAGATGTATTTGAATAAAAGGACACATCGGTGAGACAATAACCCAAAGACACAAATTACCGAAGACATTTAGAGGTCCATCATTAGAGGAGTCTATACAAAATGTCAAGTTCTAAATCACATTAACTCAAGAAAAGTTATGATTTAATTTAACAGAAACTGTTGATCATAAATCTGCTAGCAACATTAAATTAAATTAAGTTTTCGTTATTTTGATTTCAGGCACTGTTATATACAAGTGGAACGCTGATACCTTAAAGATAGATGGAAAGTTTGATTCACATGTGGTACCTAACTCTGAAGCAAGTCATGTCTCTACTCATGTTTATGAAGGTATTAATCTCATTCAAAGTCTTAATTCATTTTTATGCCCCACCTAGGGGCATTATGTTTTTCAGTTTGTGCGTCCGTTTGTCAGTCTGTCCCGCTTCAGGTTAAAGTTTTTGGTCAAGGTAGTTTTTGAAGAAGTTGAAGTCCAATCAACTTGAAACTTAGTACACATGTTCCCTATGATATGATCTTTCTAATTTTAACGCCAAATTAGAGTTTTGACCCCAATTTCACGGTCCACTGAACATAGAAAATAATAGTGCGAGTGGGGCATCCATGTACTATGGACACATTTTTGTTTCCATAGAAATATCAATACATGTCTTCTTATTTCTTAAGTTGATTTGGGAATCTTTTTATTCTGACTGAATGTACAATTTTTATACAATCACCAAAATTTTTGGTTATAATGTGGTTTTTAAAGGCAGTGCTTTAATGCCTTTCTAGTTGCCGTGTTAATCTTTCTTTCCGCGATATCCAACTTATCTACGTGGGGGGTCATTAGGCTCCAAGTAGATCCGGAAAATGTTGATTCTCTCCTCTTCTTATTGTGATATAAAATGTTTTTTGTTTCATTTCATTTACATTGGGAAATAGAGAAACGATCATTGTGTTTTGTTAGTTTTAAAAACTTTTGATATATTTGTATTTTACATTATAAGCAGTCAACCGATTGACAAACTAGAATTATTTGAATTCCGTGTGGAAAGAGGTCGGGTTAATTTCGAGTGTTATCTGCAATCTAGATGTTTATAAATCATTTCAGTCGTTGATATAATAATTAAAGGTCGACTGAACATGAATTATATTATACAATTTAAAGCGCATTTCTGTTTATGCACGCGAACCCGTCTAACGTTATTGTTATTTCTCAGTTATATAAAGTAGCAAATTATCGTTCCTGAATAGGTGGCGCCGTGGAAGCCGATCCTGTTCTTCAACTTCCGGTTTCTGCAATGTGCAACTATACAGTTGCATTTTTAATTAACGATGCCAAATACTTGTTGTTGTGTACCTGGATGTCATTTAAGAGGAGGACATGCATTTCCAAATGACTTAAAAAGAAGGAAAAGTTGGATCAACGCCATGGCCCATACGCAGATTGGACGAGAACACGATGAAATCGTGGAGTCCATCTCAATCAGCTGTTGTTTGCAAGGCACATTTTACTGAAATAGACTACGTGCAGGAAACTATTCATGGTAAAACTCTATTTTCTTTTTAAAATATATAGTTATATATGTAATCGCCATGCGAAATAACCAAAGTCTGTTTACAACCGCAATTATCGTTTTAGAATAAAAGGGGGTGGTTAATTCAAGACGTCATAATTTTTTGGATTACGATTCAATGTGATCTGTTTGAGATTTTTTGGTGCTTGCTACAATTATAATGATTTCTTACAAGAGGTATATCATACTGAGAATTATTTTAGCAGTAATTATGCTAATGTAGTAATGACAGGAATGCATAGCCATAAGCCAGAGACATATATATGTATATATGTCTCTGCATAAGCTATGCCAATGTTAACAGGAACAAAACAATGACATGCTCTCATCTATATTATAGTTATTTAGGTACAAACAATGTATGTTTGTTGCATACGTCTCTCATTGTTTGTCCTTTGGATTTACATAACATACATTTTGATGTACATTGAATCAGGCTAACATATTTTTATCCATATTGTAATGAATAAATCTAGTTAATATTTTGCCAGGTAGTATAAAGTATGCATTGCTAATGAAAGTTCATTTAATTATCAAAAAACTAATGTTTTATAACCTTTTTCAGGGTGCAAACCCACCATACAGAGACTTAAGTCTACTGCCATTCCCAGCCTATTTTCCTGGACCAAGCAAGAGACTGAATCGTCCGCAAAAAGAAAAATCAGGGCAGTTTCCTGTGAAAACAAAAGAACTAAACTTGATGAATATTGTAGTAGAAATCTAGAGGAAAGTTTTGATTGTAAAGTTGGTTTTCCTGAAGAAGTCATTCATACTGCAGACATGATTTATGACTGTCCACCACCAACTGCCGAGCTAATGTTGAGCTTCACAGATGGAATTACGCAAACACCATCAATGCCTATATTTTCAGCAGAGAATTTTGAAATGAAGACACGTGACACAGCCATGCATTTATATACCGGTTTAGAGTTGTAACTTGTATACTAAATTTTTATTTGTTTTGACCACACTTGGTCCAGCAGCACATTGTTTGAGATACATATATTTTCAAATTGATAGGGTGTCATTTGAAAATCAGTTTTTTTATGACTTTGATGAAATTGAGGCATTATACAACCAACTTTGAACTGTCTAGATTCTAGATTGAAACTAGTGTTAAGAATATTGTGTAAACATGGATTGTTTTTATGTCTAAACAGTGGCGTGAGGCTAACACTTGGCCATTTAGTGGTTTAGTCAAATATTTTTCGCCATCCAACTTCAAATTAAAGTTTCCTACAACTTGGATTATTATTGACAGCACAGAATATCCCGTGATAAAACCTAAAGCTCCTAGAGCTCAGGCAACCTTTTCATCATATAAAAACAGAAACACTGAAAATACTTGTATGTTCGACTCCTGGTGGTTTAGTCAACTATGTCTCTAATGCATATGTTGGTTGTACCAATGACTGTGAAATAGTTGAAAGATGTAGAATAGTTCAATTATGTGATCCAGGTGACAGTGTGATGGCAGACAAAGGTTTAAATGTGCATGATTTGTTTGCTCACTTTTTTCAAAAAAAGAAACAGAATTAGTTCCAAAACTCTTATACGGGATAGAAAAGTCTCCAATTAACACGTGCACATAGAGCTAATTATTGGACTTGGCAAAACATACAAAATTCTAATAAATCCTATGAATGGAACTGAAACAAAACTTTCATCTGAAATAACATTTAGTTGTTTTATGTTGTGTAATTTTAGAACTTGTATTGTGCCAAAGGATGCATAAATAAAAGTGACGCAATGAAGTTTGTTCTGATATATATATATATAAATATTATTTACAATTACATGCACATGTAAATTGTAATGCATATAAAAATAAGGAGATGTGGTATGATATTCAGTGAGTTTATCGAACCAAAGTGCATAAGAAATGGGTAAAGCAGTTACAGGTGTTACTGTCACCGTGCAATCTCCAACAATTAGAAAAACTTGTACCGTGTAAAAAATTTCAGAGATCTTACAACTAAGTTTTGTTGTCTCACCTTGACTTTGGTGAATTGTTTATATCTGTTGATGTAAATATAAAAAAGAAGATGTGGTATGATTGCCAATGAGACAACTCTCCACAAGAGACCAAATGACACAGAAATTAACAGCTATAGGTCACAGTACGGCCTTCAACAATGAGCAAAGCACATACCGCACAGTGAGCTATAAAAGGCACTGAAATGACAATGTAAAACAATTCAAACAAGAAAACTAACGGCCTAATTTATGTACAAAAAATGAACGAATAACAAATATGCAACACATAAACAAACGACAACCACTGAATTACAGGCTCCTGACTTGGGACAGGCACATACATGTACATACAGAATGTGGCGGGGTTAAACATGTTAGCGGGATCCCAACCCACCCCCTAACCTGGGACAGTGGTGTAACAGTACAATATAAGAATGAACTATAAAAATCAGTTGAAAGAGGCTTAACTCATCAGATGGATAAATACAAATACAAGTGGACGAGGCCGGGTAGTTGTACATCCAAACAACAAAAAGACACTAAGTACAGATCTGAGAGTACTCGCATTTACTGACAGCTAGTTCAAAGCCACTAACAACTGATAAAAAAATCTTGCATCTAAGACTAAATTATCAATCAGTAAGCTCCCTTTAGAATTTTATAAATTTTAGATTTGACATTTCTGAGTTATGGGGTTTTATTCATTAAAAAAGCGGGGATTTCCAGTTTTTGGACAACAACTAAAAATGCTTTAAGCAGTTCGCATGAAACTTTGGTGAATTATTTATAGCTATTGATGTAATGTCCCTATTGATTTTCATCAATTTCAAATATGGCATTGAGAAGAAATTGAACTTTATTTGTTTATAGTCTGGCAACAGATTTATTAAGTATTGCGCAACAGCACAGTGTATTGCACAACAGCAAGAAATCTTTAATTGAATATAAATTCAGTTCATATAATTGATTTCAAGTTCTGTGACTACATTTATTCAGAAACTATAATATGTCAAATATTTAATTACAATCCAAATTCAGACCTGTATCAAGCTTGAATATTGTGTCCATTTTTGCCCCAACTGTTCATGGTTGGACCTCTGCGGGTGTATCCAGCTGCGCTCAGCGAATCAGTTTATTTCTTAATTAAGAACTCCTTTTTGTCGAGCTTGCGACTTTTGTCGCAGAAAGCTCGACATAGGGATAGTGATCCGGCGGTGGCGTTGTCTAACTTCTTAAAAGCTTTATATTTTAGAAGGTGGAAGGTCTGGATGCTTCATACTTTGTATATGGATGCCTCATGTTACGAAGTTTCCGTCAGTCACATGTCCAATGTCCTTGACCTCATTTTCATGGTTCAGTGACTACTTGAAAAAAAAGTTAATATTTTTTGTAATGTTAAATTCTCTCTTATTAAAAGTAATAGGATAACTATATTTGGTATGTGCGTATCTTGCAAGGTCCTCATGCCCGTCAGACAGTTTTCACTTGACCTCGACCTCATTTCATGGATCAGTGAACAAGGTTAAGTTTTGGTGGTCAAGTTCATATCTCAGATACTATAAGCAATAGGTCTAGTATATTCGGTGTATGGAAGGACTGTAAGGTGTACATGTCCAACTGGCAGGTGTCATCTGACCTTGACCTCATTTTAATGGTTCAGTGGTTATAGTTAAGTTTTTGTGTTTTGGTCTGTTTTTCTTATACTGTATGCAATAGGTCTACTATATTTGGTGTATGGAATGATTGTAAGGTGTACATGTCTAGCTGGCAGGTGTCATCTGACCTTGACCTCATTTTCATGGTTCAGTGGTCAAAGTTAAGTTTTTGAGTTTTGGTCTTTTTTTCTAATACTATATGCAATAGTTCAACTGTATTTGGTATATGGAAATATTTTATGATCTATTTGTCAGTCACACAGGTTTTTTTTTTTACCTTGACCTCATTTTGAAGGTCAGTTGCTCAGTTATAAGTTTTTGTGTTTTGGTCTGTTTTTCTTAAACTATAAGCAATAGGTCAACTTTATTTGTTGTATGGAAGAATTGTTAGCTGTACATGCCTGCCTAGCATGGTTCATCTGACCTTGACCTCGTTTTCTTGGTTCATTGGTCAATGCTTAGTTTACTTGGTTAATGTTAAGTTTATGTGACAGTTGTAATAAAGCTTTATATTTAGGACTATCAACATAATATCAATGATTAGTAAAGAAGGCGAGACATTTCAGCATGTGCACTCTTGTTTCATTCATAAATTACTTTATACTTGGAAATATAATTTTGCTTGGAGTTATAGTTTCTAAAAAAAGTATTGTCATTGAAAGAGTTGACATGTTGCAATGTACATTTATTCTACATAGTTCTATGGTACCAAATCAAAAGTTTATATAAAAGAAAGAAGTCAAAGGTTTCCCATCATAGTTTAGTTACATACATTTTTTATGTACCTGAGGTCGTTGAATATAGGTCATTATATAAATAAGGAGATGTGTTATGATTTCCAATGAAACAACTATCATCCATACATTGTACTTACCAGTCACAAACCACATTTGCAAAGTTGAATAAAATACAGTTGATAACATTTACTTATTACTAAAAAGGAAATGCCAAACTATTTTAAACAGTATTTGACTATAAACATAGATAAAAAAGGTACAAACTGGACATAATGCACTAGTTCATAAACAAGTGAGAACAATCGCCTTCATATAGTGCTCAGAATATGACATTCATAAAACTTGTTCAATATCATTAGAGAACTCTAAATCTTAAATACTGAAAGCCACCTCTGATAAGTACAATGTACTATGCAAGATAATGATATAACTGGACTAAAAATACACACAACCTGTAATTAACTGCCTTTACAGCGCTTTCGCGCTTTGATTATGTGATAGTTGTGGCATCATCAACTCTGTTTTCTTTAATATGGTATAAAGTGTTTTCTTCTTTTTTTTAATTGACTAGCTATTTTACAAGAACTTGCAGAATTTTTTCACTAAATTGTGTCTTTCGTGCTTTCAGTGTGTGAGAAATAAGGGTCCCATTTACTTTTAACACTTTTATTTTAAGTATTTTGTTTAAGAATAAATTCTTTGAATTTGTTATGAAATTTATTATAATTATCCTCTCCTGTTTGTCAATCAAATTTTTAAAAAACTCAACACTTTACCAGTTTAAATGGAACCAAAAAGCTGAATTTTACATTTATATTATACTGTATTTCAGTAATGTTTTCATGGGGAATATATAAGTTGACATATTTGAATCTTGGATTAAAGGTCTTTCAATTTTGGAGAATCATGTGAAGACATGTGCATTTTAAAATTGTTTAGCAAAACCAAAAAATTTTTTTTAAATGTGATTTTTAAGATGTTTTCCTGTGTTTGCAAGCTTTCTTGTCCTTGAAACTTTTATATTTTGCAGATTGTATCTAAATCTTTATTGTTTCTTTTATTGTTTTTCAGCAAGGAATTACCAAATCACCTCTATGAAGGTCATAGATAAGTACCTTTACATGGGTACGACATGGGGTTGTCTGATTGTTGCAGATGCTGAGAACCTGCAAGTAGGACCGTACACAGTGTTCCGTTGTCATGGTAGTGAAGACTTCCGTATAATTCTACCATTACATGATGCAGAAGAGGAAGACAGTATTCCTGGTATAATCACTATAGGAACTGGTTTCCGTGACATTGTAAAACAAGCGTCTGGTTTTGACACGCGGCACACTAACAGTGATAGGAGTGATAATGTGTTTGAAGATGAAAGTCCTAAAAGATCAGCCATGAAAAATTATACTCATATACTGTCTTGGTATGCCAAAAATTGGGAGTATTTCTGATACTAGATACTACATATTGTAATATATATTTCATAGATTAAAACCAGTATAAATGAAATCCATAATATGCTTGCCAAAATTTCATAAATGTACATTGCCATAAGGTTAGCTATTTTATCTTTTTAGTAATATTCATTGTTCAGCATTCCAGTACACCTCATAACATTCCATCCCCCACCATTAGTACTGTATGATCTCAGGTTACAAGGTTTTTATAATACCTAAGATTGGTGGTGTAAATTTCATGGCTTGATATGTCTATAGTTTAACAAATGATGCCATGTATGAGTCAAATTGTGCATGTTAATGTTTTAATTCTGGTTATTCTTATCTTACCTGTTTTTCTAGCCTTTACTTTATATATGTATAATCACCATTTTACTGATGCTGCATTATTGATGATTTCTGTACTTATTTGTCGAGTAAATATCTTTCATGGAC